AACAAGATGCATCTCCTTTTAAGGGAGCTCATCACCAAGAACTCCAAAGTTAAGCGTGCTTGCACGGGAGTAGTCTTGGGATGGGTGACCCCCCGGGAAGTTTCTCAGGGCGCGCACGAGTGAGGACAAAGTGCGCGGAAAAGGCTAGTGGAGGTTTGTGAGGACAGTACTAGAGGTCAGAAGTAACTACCTCGGGGCCTACAGGGCCGGGGTGTTACACAAACATCATATACATGTAGCCATCATATACAAATATAGCCAAGTTTGTGCAGGTTTAATGTACCAGAAATACCCATACGACCACTACTTTAAACCATACATGAAGTAGGCAAAAACATAGACACCAAACACCAAACCCCATACCAATGTTTCTTCCAAAATGGAGTAGGTCCATAAACCAACTACCCTCCTGCTCCCACACAACACCATTGTGTAACAAAAACCAAATCAAGGGAGAATGTTTAAGCAAAATGAAAGGTATTATAAGCACAAAAAGCATGTATTTAGTTTACAACAACTACACTACACTTGAGGCCTTCTTCCATGTTGTCAAAAAAATTATTAAATCTTTCTCTAGCTATTGATGACACCCCAGTAACTGAGACCCCAATAGCATTCAAGCCTGTAGCTTTTCTTTTTCTTGAATTGGTGGCCTTCTCTTTGAGCTTCTTTTTGTTCCTTTCACACACACTCTGATAAAACAATGGGGGAAAAACTTAGCAAATGTAGCTTAATTTAAACCAAACTACACTATCTACAAAAACATAAAAGCAAAAACCAATGTCATGAGTATTATACCTCCAGCCCAGCAGAAGTTATGGAGTTTTGGCCCCTCAACTGAAAAACATTGTCATTGGGCCTGTCATCCCTATCCTCATTTCGAGTGAAGTATGGACGCAATGTACTATCTTCAGTATTTGGGTCTTGGGGAGGTCCAAAACCACTTTCACTTGCCTTCCAAAAAACAAAATTTAATTTGAGTGTTACAAGGGAGTTTTGAATAACAAGCATAAATTTACAGTAACAATTCACATGTTTTCACATTTACCTAGTTACAGTTATTCTTCATAGGGCACTTATTCTAGGAGTGTCCAGTTTGGGAGCATGAACCACATTTTTGGGTTGTTTAGAAGTAGCAGTAGCACCTTGTACATCAGTAGGGAATGTCGTATCTCGTTGCAAGATTTGTTCTTTTGAGGGACACCCTATTTTGTTATGGCCTTTTTTGAAACACAACTGGCAAGTAATGGTTGTTCCTCTCTTGGTTAATTTTCCACTCCTAGGTATCTCACCTATTTCTTTGATTCAAATTTTCCTAGGCCTCCCAATTTTCCCCCAACTCAACAGGCAACACTTCAACATTTGTTTTAGGCCAGAAAAGAGGTCCAGCAATAGGTGTCATCATTTCACCATATGTGTGGCACTACATGTGCTTCTTATACCACTGGGATACATAATCTTCTATCCTATGTCCTTTATCCTTAATGGCATAGATGACGTGTTTGCAAGGGATTCCAGACACATCCCACTGCTCATACAAACAACTCATGTTCTCCAAATCAACTAGATTGACCCACATGAGACCTCATATCCATCAGATCCATTAAACAACACCCTCCAATTATTACTTGCCATAACAATTTTATTTATCCTCCTTATGATTCTAGGACCTAACTCCCCAACCCATTTCTCACCTAAACTCTTATTCCTAATAAGCCTATGTGCATCACCAGCTTCCTTATGTATTCCAACTGAGTATACCCAAACAAAGATCTAGCAAGAACTATCACCCCATTAAAAGCCTCACACAGATTGTTATCAACAATTTCACAATTTATACTTCTATTTAAAAAAAGCACTACACCAAAACTTAGGATCTACCTTGAGAATATCTTCATGAGCAGTTGGAGAAAGAGCTTTCAGTACCTCAAGATTTTGCTCAAATTCTCTTTTAAAGGCATATTTGCAGCACTTTCAAAATTGCTTTTGTAGATCTAGACCAGGATTTGTTATTCTCCAAATGGCATATATGTGCCTAGCCCATCTTCTGGAACACCCACCATGCTCGGTCTGGCCGATTCGGGATGGATGCCACTGTCGTTTATCTTTTAATAAAAATATGTCTGTATAGTTAATTTAGAAAATATTTCTCATAGAAAAATAATAATAAGATTGATGTTATTTTGGTTCAATGGTAGTTTGAAAATAAAAGAAGATTAACCAAATACATAACAATTAACTTAAAATAAAACTCCGATTATTGCATTATCATACTTAATTTTAAAATGATGTTGGTTGTACCAACTTATTTAAAATATGACAGTAAATGAAACATGTGAAATGCACTCTCGTCCATATGTCTTATTGTCCTGGGGCTCCAGCTTGCTTCTCATATTCACCTACGTGTAGAATAACTACACACTGAACAATGAATTGCTGAGTGGTACTATAATATAACATGTGATTATATTTGCTACTCAAATAAATGACAAAGTAGCATTATATCATTATAGTCCATTTACATAATTAAAACATCTTAGCAAAACATATGACACATTATCATCATAGAAATCAAATTTAACTTAATACTATTATTTCACATAATATAATTATAAATTTATCACTTAGAAACATGTAACATAAATCTTGAGAATTTTGTCAAAAGTTCATATTCAAAAAAATACCTATAAAGATTTTATATAATCTTTACCCCACGTTTTACTTTAATTCAGATCCATTAAAAATCTGTGCATCTTTTCCAAAAGAGATTAAGGTAATTTAGTTTCACATAGAAATAATCATAGAGCAGAAACATATATCGTTTAGGAAAATAATCATATCTAGTTCTTGTTCAAATTCATAATCGAAGGATCCAATTTTCTGAATACTTAATTCTGTATTCATTTAGTTTCAGCCTTTACTCATAGGACCAGAGTCTAGCTAAGGGTACAGATAAAGTAATTTCGAACAAAGTTCTAGTTACTTTACCCATAAGAAAACAGAGATCTTCAGATCACAGGGATCATCAGATAACAGAGCGGAGTTCAGATTCAGAGGACCCTGGCTTGGGCCGTATGCTATAACACCAGAGGAGTCGTAGTTGGTAAAACCAACTCGTACCCAAAACTTTAAACAGAAGTACCCAAAACTTTAACACCGTATGCTATAACTAGTTTTGTGTACAACATATTTTTTAAACTAGAGTCAAATGTAGCGATTAATAAAAAATTGTAAAAAACTAATTAACTATTTATCTAACTATTAATTCGAGTTATAGCAAATTAAGTAGTGAATTAACTAGTTTTGTGTACAACATATTTTTTAAACTAGAGTCAAATGTAGCAATTAATAAAAAATTGTAAAAAAGTAATTAACTATTTATCTAACTATTAATTCGAGTTATAGCAAATTAAGTAGTGAATTAACTAGTTTTGTGTACAACATATTTTTTAAACTAGAGTCAAATGTAGCAATTAATAAAAAATTGTAAAAAACTAATTAACTATTTATCTAACTATTAATTCGAGTTATAGCAAATTAAGTAGTGAATTAACTAGTTTTGTGTACAACATATTTTTTAAACTAGAGTCAAATGTAGCAATTAATAAAAAATTGTAAAAAACTAATTAACTATTTATCTAACTATTAATTCGAGTTATAGCAAATTAAGTAGTGAATTAACTAGTTTTGTGTACAACATATTTTTTAAACTAGAGTCAAATGTAGCAATTAATAAAAAATTGTAAAAAAGTAATTAACTATTTATCTAACTATTAATTCGAGTTATAGCAAATTAAGTAGTGAATTAACTAGTTTTGTGTACAACATATTTTTTAAACTAGAGTCAAATGTAGCAATTAATAAAAAATTGTAAAAAAGTAATTAACTATTTATCTAACTATTAATTCGAGTTATAGCAAATTAAGTAGTGAATTAACTAGTTTTGTGTACAACATATTTTTTAAACTAGAGTCAAATGTAGCAATTAATAAAAAATTGTAAAAAACTAATTAACTATTTATCTAACTATTAATTCGAGTTATAGCAAATTAAGTAGTGAATTAACTAGTTTTGTGTACAACATATTTTTTAAACTAGAGTCAAATGTAGCAATTAATAAAAAATTGTAAAAAACTAATTAACTATTTATCTAACTATTAAACAAGAGTCAAATGTAGCAAATTAACTAGTAATTAAACAAGTGTAAATAATAGAATAATTTCGTACCTCTTTCGGACTTTCGGTCTTTCGGATGGGAGTAATAGAATGACTTCAAATTAATTAGATATAATTCCAACTATATTAATAGATATAATAAATATATAAGTAATATATAATTAGATAACAAATATAAGTAATATAATACTATTTATATCTATTTATAGTTTATATAAGTAGATAATTAATATAAAGTTATAAACTATAAATAATAAATATAATATATTGGAGAATGGAGAATAAGAGAATTAGAGAGTATAGAGTTAATGATAGGATTTAGGAAGAATTGGAGAAGAGATATGAAAAAATGTTTAAGATTAGGAGTATTTATAGGTTTTTTTACCCCCCACCCCCCACCACTACCCCCCACCACCCAACCCCCCCGGACCCCCCCTTTACCCCACCCAACGGCTATATAGCCGTTTGGGTTGTCCCCAGCCCCACCCCCAACGGCTAGTAGCCCAAGACCCATTTTTTTTTAAATTAAGACCGGACTCGGGCCCGGGCCCGACCCGGCCGGGCCGGGTCACATTAATCCAGCACCGAGCCCGCCCCGCCCATTCCCACCGGTTCGGGTCCATACCCGGTCCCGGACCGCCCGACCGGGCCGGTCCCGGGCCCGCACAGTACCGGGCCGGGCCGGGTGGCCCGAACCGAATCCACCCCTATCCCAGAGTAAGGCTCTTTTCCAAAATATTTCATAAATTCATATGTTATTGAAGAATATAATAATCACAGAGCATCATCACTAAACATACGGTCACATACACATGTTCTTCTACTTTTTTTTTTTGAAAATAAGTTGAAACAGATCCCATTCTCAATAGAAGATTTCAAAGTACCTCTTTCTGGAAATACATCGCCTTAGTGAATACAATATCCAGTAATAGAATCATATAAATTGGGGCGAATCGGGCAATCCTCTGATAATTGAAATACAAGACACCCATTGATCGGAGGTCAAGTGTCAATAAGTGTGTAGATGTGGTAGTCAACCAATCTTCTTCCAACTGGGAGATGATACTGGCAAAGACACCATATCCTTGGCACATGGTATGTCTCCATTAAGTGATAGAATATGGTTTCACATGCCCCACTATTTCTTCAGTAGCTTTGCACAATACGTGGAATCCACGGGAATCAAGGTTGCAAGCAACTCCTGATGATGCCTCGTCAAAACTGATATTTAATCTGCCCCTAAGGTTTTCATCAGGCAGGACATATTTTGAAACAGGCCCCCTTGTATCAAGTTTGTCTATGTTGTCATTCAAGTCATCAACATAGTCTTTAAGCTTTTTCATCACATCAGATACACTGTAAAATGGAGTCAACCTAACATCTCCTGAAATGGTGCACTCAGCTGGTATTTGATTGATACCACCCCCTGGATAACTCCATTGTGTTGGTTTCATGGTTGATGGTGTTGCAAATCCATAAATTTGCTCTTTAGGATGAGGAGGGAAGTCTCTGTAGAAACGCAACTGGATTTCTTTAAACGCCTCCATCGCCAACTCTAGTGGATTAATAGCCTTATGAGGCAAACCACTGTGGAAAAGTTTGCCAATGACATTAAATTTCCATGATATCATGCCACCGGTACCAATGCAAGGCTGTTTATCAGCTGTATCGATCCAGAACAGAGGACCATCCTTCAACTTGTCAAGCAACCCATCTTTAACTAAAGCGTCCACACCAACCCCTGGGATAGATGAGTTCTCTTCACTTGCTATGGTTTTGCTATGGAGGTATTGGTCCTACCAAGACCTCCCTTCCACTTTATTATTAAGGCTTGCACCCCATGTTTACTCCCACTTTGATTCCCTTAGTTGAAATCACTCATTGGTGCCTGTTGACTTACAATATGTGAGCCCCTTTTTTGTTGTTGTCCGCTGCACCTCCTGTCTGGCAGCCTGTGACACCCTGTTGATAAGCCTCACCCGTGACTTTCCTTGGTAGCCTATTTGTAGTCCTTTTGTTTGCCCCTTTGAGATAAGCCTGCGTGAATTCCTCTTCCAGAGAGCAGTGTCTTCCTTCTTCCTTTCCTTGTGTGAGAGTTCCTTTGTGGAGTGAAGAAGAGTGAGTAAACATGGGAGATGTTGTGGCCTAGCCCTAGAGGGTGTGTGTGAGTTTAGTCTAGAGTGGTTGGAGACCTGAGCCGGAGACGGATACGATCCTAACAGTGGTATCAGAGAGGGTTCGCCGTCTGCCGCCGTTCACCGCCGCCGTCTGCCGCCGTCCGCCGCCAATTCGAGGTCTGGGAAGTCGTGACCGTCGATTCGCCGTCCGTGGAGGTGTCCATCGCCTGGTAAGCTTGGACCTGAAGAACTGAACTCGGAAGGGTCGGACTGGAAGCCTGTTGCTGCGCAAATCACCGAAGCCACCGAAGCCGCCATCCGCCGTCGCCTGAGAGCTATCGACGGTGGTCGCTCGTGACTGGACCCGTCGCTCGTCCTTGGGAGCCACCGCCGGCAGTTTTGTGGTTCGCAGGAGGTCTGGAGTTTCGTTCCTCGCGGGACGCAGAAAGTAGGGAGGAAGAAGTCTACTGGGCTTCAATTGCTGGACCTTGGGCTACTCGATTTGGGCCTGGTGGACTGCTTCTGGAGCTGAAGGAGCTGGGCTGCTGACCTGCTGGATTTGGGCTGCCAAGCTACTGGACCTGTGCTGTTGGGCCGCTGGACTGACCTGCTGGACTGCTGGAGTTGCTGGAGCAGCTGGACCGCCGGTCAACGCCGGTCAACGCCGGTCAACGCCGGTCAACGCTGGTCAACGCTGGTCAACGCCGGTCAACAGTCAGAAAAATCCCATTTTTTAAAAAATTGGGTAGGTAAGGTCGAAACCCTCTCCTAGGGTTTCACTAAGGTAAATTGGCTATAAACACCCTAGGTGCACCAGGTGCCTCCGGATTTAATTTTATTCCCCCTCCCCGCGGGCCGCCGGTAGATTGTATCCCGGCCGCCAACCCCCCAGGTGCGTTTGCTAAACCCTCTCCTTTGTGGCAGATTGTTTTAGTGTGTTAATTAAATTGCTAAGTGTTATTTAATTCATTTGTTATGCGTAGAGGTGGTTTATTGGGGGTTAGGGGTAGAATTAATTAATGTTAACTGCTGCCCGGTGTTGTTTTATGTGCCAAACTGTCCATATTTTCTATTTGTTGCATGCTGCCCGTGGTTATTAAAGTGAATACTTTATAGCCCGAGTTGATTTATTTTCTGTCAAATTTGTCTGTTTAGCTTTGTGTTGTTTTGTGGTTGATACCATGGCTGCTAATCAGTATGGTATGCTTCCATTTAATGGAAAAACAGATTTTGATATTTGGAAACAGAAAATTAAGTGTGTTTTAATACAACAAAAAGTTTTCAGAGCTGTCACTGGTATTTTCCTTGAATCTGAAGATAAGGCTAAGCAAATTGAAATGAACGAAACTGCTTGTTCTACTATTTACTTGAATCTGTCTGATTCTGTGCTTAGGAAAGTGGGTATTCTTGAGTCCGCTAAGGAATTGTGGGAGAAATTGGATAGTCTCTATACTGATACCTCTTTGCCCGGGAAGTTGTTTTTACTTGAGAAATTCTTTAGGTTTAGGCTTGACCTGACCAAGGATATAGATGAGAACCTGGATGTGTTTAATAAACTGATACAGAATATCAAACAGGCAGGTGATAAACACATAGACGATTATACTCCCATAGTATTACTTAATGCCATTCCCGACTCTTATAATGATGTTAAGTCCGCTATTAAGTATGGTAGGGATGAGATTTCGTTAGATATTGTTGTTAATGGGTTAAGGAGTAAGGAATTAGACCTGAAGCATGCTAGGGGTAGTGCTAGTCAGTCCAGGGACTCCGGTGAGGCTATGTTTGTTAGAGGTAGATCTAAGGGTAGGTCTAAGAACTCTAAGCAAAATAGTCAAAGTAAGAACACTAGTCAGCCTGGGAGAAAGAGGAGCAAATCTAGGAAGAGAGTGTGTTACAATTGTGGTAACGCTGACCATTTCATTAAGGATTGCCCTAAACCTAAGAAGACCGAGCATGCTAGTGTAGCTGTTGATAAATGTGACCTTGGTGATATTTTGATGGTTTGTGACCATGTTAATTCTGTGCGTAATTCCCTGTCTGAGCATGAATGGTTGATTGACTCTGGTTGTACCTATCACATGTCCCCCTTTAGAGATTTGTTTTCTACATATGAATTATGTGATAGTGGCTATGTTTCCTTAGCTGATAATAAGAGATGCAATGTGCTTGGTGTGGGTGATATATGTCTGAAGTTTTCTTGTGGCTCCGTGTTTACCATTAAGAATGTGAGGCATGTCCCTGATTTGTGTCATAACTTGTTATCTGTTGCTGCTTTGGAGAGTAGTGGTTTACAGGGAAAATGGGGAAATGGTTGCATGAAAATCTTGAAAAATTCTCTTGTGTTGTTTAAAGCTGAGAAGGTGAATAACCTTTATGTGTGTCATGCTAAACCTTTTACTGAGTCTGTGAATGTTGTATGTTCTGATAAGACCTCTTTGTGGCATAATAGGCTAGGACATATGAGCAATAAGGGTTTAGATGTCATGCGTAGGGCTGGTTATTTTGGTAAGGACTCTGTGACTTCTGTGCCTTTCTGTGAATCATGTGTGTTAGGCAAGCAGCATAGAGTCAACTTCCCTCCTTCCTCTTACCCTAATCTGTCTAAGTGTTCGTCTGTGCTTGAATATGTTCATGTCGATGTTTGGGGTTCTGCCAGTGTTCCTACCCACGGGGGTAGGAAATATTTCCTTTCTATTATTGATGATTTCTCTAGGAAGGTGTGGGTTAGCCTTTTAGAACACAAGTCTGATGTGTTTGTGAAGTTTAGGGAGTGGAAAACCCTAGTTGAAAACCAAACTGGCAGGAAGGTTAAAACCCTTAGGACCGATAACGGGTTAGAGTTCTGTAATAAGGAGATGGATAAGCTGTGTGTGGATTGTGGGATAAAAAGGCACAAAACTGTGCCTTATACTCCCCAACAGAATGGGATAGCAGAGAGAATGAATAGGTCTCTGTTGGATAAGGTTAGAAGCATGTTAGCTACCTCTGGTTTGTCTAAGAAATTCTGGGGTGAAGCAGTTACTACTGCTACCTATTTGGTTAATAGGTCCCCGTCTGTCCCACTTGGTGGTAAATGTCCTGAAGCCGTCTTTACCGGTAAGCCTCTTGATCTGTCTAACCTCCGGGTGTTTGGTTGTGCAGCATATGCACATCAACAGGGTGACAAGTTGGATCCCAGGTCTAAGAAATGTGTCTTCCTAGGTTATCCAGAGGGGGTAAAGGGTTACAGGTTATGGGATAGGAACCAGGTAGGCTTTAAGGTGGTCCTTAGCAGAAATGTGGTGTTTAATGAAACTGATTTTCCTTGCTTGACCGAGTCTGTTTCTAATCCTGAGTCTAGGTCTGATAGTACTCCTAGTGAGGTGGAGTTTGTCCCTGTTGCTGCTAGTCCTTTATCTGTTGATCCTGTTATTACTGATGATATTGTTATGCATGATTCTGATTCCTCTGAGCATGATAGTCCCACCACCTCGAGTGAGGTGGAGCATTTGCATGATACTGAGCATGATTTGCATGACATGGGTGCTGAATCTGATTTTCATGACAACAATAATTTGCATGAGTTGCATGTGAAGCCTAGTAGTGATAATTTGCATGATTATCAACTTGCTAGAGATAGGGGTAGAAGGGCTATTAGGAGAACTGCTGATAGTATGCCTGATTATGCTTTCATTGTGCATGATACTTCTATGTTTGCTTTTTCTGTGTTTGAATCCCTAGAGCTGAATGAACCCAAGACCTACCGTGAAGCCTTAGGTTCCAAAGAGTCTCAGAAATGGATTAGTGCCATGAAAAGTGAGATGGACTCTTTGAGAGTGAACCAGACTTGGACCCTTGTACCTAGACCCCCCAACTGTTCGGTAGTTGAGTGTAAGTGGTTGTTTAAGGTTAAGGAAGAACCTAGTGATGTTAGGTTTAAGGCTAGGTTGGTTGCGAAGGGGTTTACTCAAAAAGAGGGGGTAGATTATGCAGAAATCTTTGCTCCTGTTGTTAAATTCACCACTATTCGTATGATGCTTGCTTTAGTTGCTCACCATGACTGGGAAATGAAACAAATGGATGTAACTACTGCTTTTTTGCATGGTGAATTGGACAAAACAATTTATATGACCCAGCCTGAGGGATTTGTGGATCCCAAGAGAAGTGAGCATGTCTGTTTGCTTAGGAAGGCATTGTATGGCCTGAAGCAATACCCTAGGCAGTGGAACATCAAATTTGATAAATGCATGATATCTTTGAAGTTTCAAAAATCTGTTTGTGATCATTGCCTGTATTTCAAGAATACTTCCTCTGTGCCTGTATTTTTGTTACTCTATGTGGATGACATGCTGATAATTAGTCCTTCTCTGAATGCTATTAAAGATGTGCAAAAATGTCTTTGTGCGAATTTTGCCATGAAAGACCTAGGTAATGCCAAGAGGATCTTAGGCATAAACATTGTTAGGGATAGGAGTAAGCGCACTCTTACTTTGAATCAGATTTCTTACATAGAAAAAGTTTTGAGTAAATTCAATATGTTATCTGCTTCTCCTGTTAATGTCCCTATGGCATCTCACTTTGTGTTAAGTAAGGACCAGTCTCCCAAGACTACTCCTGAAATTGAGAAAATGAAATATGTGCCTTATTCCAGTGCAATAGGGTCGGTGATGTATCTCATGGTTAGCACTAGACCTGATATTGCATATGCGGTTAGTTGCTTGAGTAGATATATGTCCAACCCTGGTTTGCCCCATTGGAATGCTCTTAAGTGGTTGCTTAGATATCTGATTTCTACTGTGAAGCATGGATTAATTTTCTCTAAATGTGCTAGTGGTAACACATTTAGAGAAATGTGTATGTGAACTGATTGGTTATGTTGATTCTAACTATGCAAATGATAGAGATAACAGGAAGTCGACCACTTCTTATGTTTTCACTTTGTGTGGCTCTTGCATTAGTTGGAAGTCTCAACTACAGCCTATTGTGGCCCTTTCTACCACTGAGTCCGAGTATGTTGCAGCCACAGAAGCGTTTAAGGAAGCCATCTGGCTCAAACGCCTTGTCTCCGAAATTGGGTTTCTCAAAAAGGGAGTTACCATTTTCTCGGATAGCCAATCGGCTATCCAACTTTGCAAAAATCTTGTATTTAATGATAGAACTAAGCATATTGATGTTAGGTTCCATTTCATACGTGATATTGTTGATGCAGGTGGAGTCAAGCTGTGCAAGATCCCGTCAGAGTTTAACCCTGCAGATATGGGTACCAAGTGTCTTTCTTCTGAGAAGCACTTGTCCTGTAAACGCATGTTAAACTTTGATGGTGGATAACTGTGGGTTGCGTAATAAAGTGTTTGCCCGTTTTATCTGTTGATATTCCGGGTGACCCGGCGATGATGAGTCTCCTCACAACCTGTTTTGCTACTCTACACCACCTAGGACCAATAAGGTGGAGAATGTTGGAGGTATTGGTCCTACCAAGGCCTCCCTTCCACTTTATTATTAAGGCTTGCACCCCATGTTTACTCCCACTTTGATTCCCTTAGTTGAAATCACTCATTGGTGCCTGTTGACTTACAAAATGTGAGCCCCCTTTTTTTGTTGTTGTCCGCTGCACCTCCTGTCTGGCAGCCTGTGACACCCTGTTGATAAGCCTCACCCGTGACTTTCCTTGGCAGCCTATTTGTAGTCCTTTTGTTTGCCCTTTGAGATAAGCCTGCGTGAATTCCTCTTCCAGAGAGCAGTGTCTTCCTTCTTCCTTTCCTTGTGTGAGAGTTCCTTTGTGGAGTGAAGAAGAGTGAGTAAACATGGGAGATGTTGTGGCCTAGCCCTAGAGGGTATGTGTGAGTTTAGTCTAGAGTGGTTGGAGACCTGAGCCGGAGACGGATACGATCCTAACACTCCCAATTGTCTCATAAGTTCGGCAACAAGAGCAACATGACCTAAACAATCAGTTGTTCCCCGTCCACAAAGTTTATAGCCATCGATGCTCAAGGATTGGCTGTGACAACGTCCATGTGCATTCCCACAAAAGACAGAATCTTTCCTGGCTGGGTGCCGGGGTACTCGACGATAAGATTGCCCCGATTGGACTTATAGGCAACATGGTTTATAACTAGTGGCCCGCCGCCGCTAGCGGTGCTGTAAGGGAGGAGGGAGTCAAGAACGGGTTTCACTATCTTGTCCTCCTCCGGGATTAACTCAGGTGGGTTGTTCTGAACGTGCTTCGACTCGCCGATCAGCTTTCTCAAAAGTGACACAAACCTCTCCTTGTTCAGATCACCTAGGGCTTGCTTTACTGAAGCCATTAGAGAGCACGGAGGGATGACTGTCACCCTCATATATACTTATATTTAATCTTCTTTTAAACATATACATACATAATATAATCTGCATGCATAATCTAATATCCTTTCTTTGAATAACAAAAACAATGGCACTTAATACATGTTGTATTATAATACTCACATCTTTTCATTTCATAACAAAAAATAATGACACTTAATTAACAAATCAAATGTCGTATTATAGTAATGACATCTTTTCATTTAATAACAACAACAATGACACTTAATTAACAAATCAAATGTCATATTATAGTACTGACTAATATATTTTCTATGAATAACAGAGTTAATGACACTTAATACATGTCGTATTATAGTACTAACTAATATATTTTCTATGAATAACAGAATTAACGACACTTAATACATGTCGTATTATAGTACTGATCTGAGTATAGCTGTATATACCAAACAAACACCAAATTTTCTTCTCAAGATTTTTGGCTCAAGACTTTGCTTCCTTGTTTGTTCTAGACTCGTGGCTTTTCTTAGAGATTTATGAGTATTGAATTGGGTAGAGATTTAGAGTCTGGTAGCTACTTTTCCGGAGTAGTGTTACTGTGTTAGTGCTATATATATATACACATAAGTACTAGTACATTATACTAATATTGTTATTGATATCATCATCATTTAATAAATATGGTTTGTTCTTTTTCTTCTTTGAGTGAAGTGTGATGGTATATATGTCCTAGCGACAATCACTTTTTAGAGATATATGTACTTGATCACATTCAGTTTTATATATTTGATATATACGGTATTACACATTAATGATTAAGTATTTCGATTGTCAATATCGTATTCATAATTGTGTTCCCTTGGTCTTATGTTATCAATAAGTAAGTGAGAGCTTATATGATATAACATAAGGTCCTAAAATAGCCCCAATCAATGATCATCAAGAATGGGATATTGATGATATGCGATAAGATTGGTATGTAGACTGCATCATACTTTTAGAAAGTATAGTTGATCTCACAACTATGAGTTCCTGTAATTCATGATGGTCACATAGATATTTTAGAGAATATTGGTATACCCGCCGAGAAATCATTTGATAAGTTCTATTCACGTGTCTATGGGATTATCGGCGTATAGAATAGTGTAATAGTTCTCCGACTTGAGGTCAATACGTAGTACATGTGCGGAGTGATGTACTTTGACCATGACCAACACTTGCACTCCAATCGGGGTAGATACAGCATGTGTTGGGTGCATCACGAAGCACATGGAGTAGTATTTGAGCCAAGAAAGGATTCATTCCTCGTAATAGATTAAGAGAGAACATTCTACTTCTCATATCTAGATGGATCATAAAGTCATTGGCCAATGCAAAGATATTCGTTTTGGATATCGAATATGATCGTTATGGATCATCTAGAAAGTTTGAGAGATAGAAACTAAGTTATTGGAATAGACACAATATCATGTTCTAGACTTAGTTGAATGTTCGTTGAATGAAAGGATCGTATCACTATGAGCTCTATATTACAGGGAGTTTGAATAGTCCTCGCAAACGTCCTTATATATTAAGTTTGTCTGGGAAATCGTCTAGGGATTCTACTAAGACCTTAATTTGATTAGTGCTTAATATATAAGGCTCTATAGATCACACAACAAGTGATTATACCTTCCGATTGAATTGTTAGAAGGAATTAAATATTATTAATTGGATTAAATAATACTGATGGAGTATATGGCCCAGGGACCCCCGACCCACATACTTCCTCTACTACAATCAGGCCCAAGAGGCCCAAATGGGCCAAGCCCAGCAAAATGGAGCTCTAAGCAGCCCACAATACGCAAAGGGGTGCCTTCGGCCCCATGGCCGAAGGCTACCAGTGACGGAATCGATCTCAGAAACATCACAGGAGAATAAGGCTTGAAAACCAAGCCTTCGGCAACTGCAGCCCTCGGCAGGTAGGAGCCCTCGGTTAGAAGAGGCATCACAGGAGAACAAGGCTTGAAAACCAAGCCTTCGGCAACTGCAGCCCTCGGCAGGTAGGAGCCCTCGGTTAGAAGAGGCATCACAGGAGAACAAGGCTTGAAAACCAAGCCTTCGGCACCTGCAGCCCTCGGCAGGTAGGAGCCCTCAGTTAGAAGAGCCTTCGGCCCAACACCCTTCAGCCGAAGGCATCCACCTCGACAGAATATCATCTTCACATGCGCCTGGATCACCGTACCAAGTACAAACGTCACATCCAACCACCGCATATAATGCGGCCACATGCGAGTGCCAGTGCCACCCCGGTCGAGGTGACCCCTCGACCACCAGAAAACTGACATGTGTCCTTATATAGCATTTATTACTACTATAAATAGCACCCCTTTCCCCCATTGTAAACCACGCTTGATACATATCGAATATACTCTCTCTCTTACTTATTTGCTCTGACTTCTCTCTAGTTATTCTCCGCAATAACCCCTCGGATAAGCTACCCCCTGGGTACACTATCCATCATTTGGTGCTCTCATTGAGAGTTCGAACAATCAAGTAAGAAACCCTCCCCTTCAGCTAAAAACACCTATCAAAATGGGAAGAAACACCCGTGCCCAATCCAAGACTCATGAGGACATGAACCTGGCCCTCGGCGACGTCGACGCCCTCGAAGCCTCTAACATGGCTCCCGAGGGCGGCGCCCTCGCTGGGTTGGAACAGACGGCTGTCGACCTGCGCCTTCAGCTCCAACATAATGCCCCCGATGCCCGCCTTGGCATCGAGGCCAAAAAGAAGGACCAGAGCGAAAACCAAATGAGCCCTCCGGTTCTCACCATTGACGTACAATCAGCGTTCTCCGCCTTCATCCAAACTCTCACTCAAAACCCAGGTGCCTTCGGCACGCTGGTACCCCTTCAGCCGCAGGTCGGGGAGAACGCCATTCTCCCCCCTCCTCCGCTCCCCTTCGTGAACCCTATCCTTCGGTTAGGGAACAACGAGAGGGTTGTGGCCTAGGACACCGCCTCTCAGGAAGTCCAATCCCGGGACCGCCACGGCGCAAACAAAGAAAGGCCCCAGACCTCCGCCCTTGAGAGACACGGAGGGGCGCTAGACCGCCGAGGGGTCCAAGACCACCTCGACGGAAAGGTGCTCCAAAGACCTCAGGAAAGTGGCGGATCCGTCTCTAGGGCAGATGAGAAGCTTCCCCCTCGAGATAAAGACAAAGCACCCCTCCATGCCGACGGCACCCGACATCGAATCAACCAGGCCCGCTCGGCCCATGGCCATTCGCAGGGGGCGGAGGCCCTCCCGAAGGACACCAGGGACGAAATTATTGCGGCCCTCCAGCACCGGCTTGATGAAATGGAGGCCCATCAAGCACATACCGCCGTTGCCGCCCCTCATGCAGATTCTAAATATGAGGCCATGCTGGCCAAAATAGAGGAGATGCAAAGGAAATTTGCCGAAGGCTCTGGGGAACCCGTCATCCAACTCCGAACTAGGACGCCATTTACCCCAAGGGTATTGGCGGCTCAAATCCCGGAAAAGTACCGAGGGCAACTCATAAAGCCCTATGAAGGAAAAACTGACCCCAGGAGCACTACAACAAGTATCAAAACAACATGATGATGATGGGTGCATCAGATGAATACTTATGTCGTTGGTTCCTTTCCACCTTGGAGGGACCAGCATACGAATGGTTCAACCGATTGCCCGAGGGAAGCATTGACTCTTGGCAAGATCTTGCCCAACGCTTCCTCACCCATTTTGCCGGAAGGAAGCGCGCGAGAAAGCACTTCTCCCACCTCCTCTCCGCCAAGCAACAGCCTGACGAAACACTTCGGTCCTTCATTGACCGGTGGATGAAGGAGACAGACGAGGTCGAGGGAGCCGACGAGCGTACCCTCCTCGTCCTCTTCCAGGGGGTTCTCCGCAGCAGCCCCTACGCACGGAGCCTCATCACCGACCCCCCAAGATCATACCTCAGAGCACTCCAGCGGGGGAGCCTATACGCCGACGACCTCCACTCCTTCAAGAAGAACGAGGGCCAGCCCTCGAAGAAGACAAACAACACGCCGGCCCCAAATGCACCCTCGGCCGGAGGCCGAGACCATGGAAGCCACACCCAGCAGGGCCGTAATGAACGCCAATGGCACCCTCGGCTGGACTTGCCGAGGATTCCCCTCACGCACCCGGTGAGCACTATCCTCAACTATGCGGAAGAGCAGGACCGTTTCCCCAAGGACCCTCGATCGACGAGGGAGATCTACGCCATCCACCATGGCGGCATCTATTGCCGTTACCACAAAAGAACCTCCCACAATACAGACGATTGTGTCTCGTTAAAGAAGGCTATTGAACTCTTAATTCAACGGGGTGAGCTCCACCAATTCATCAAAAATGCCCCAAGGAAAAACACCGGGGAGAACACCGATAAAGAAGAAGGGGACATCGCAACAAAAAAACATGAAATCGGGAGGCTCAGCGACGGCGAGGAGTTCGAGGAGCCCCAGCCGAAGAAGCGCCACCTCCGTTAATCATGTTCCTCGCCTTCGGCGATAGTCTCAGCCTTGGGCCCTCGACCTCGAGGCACATTACCATCCCCTCGGCCTAGAGCCCTCGGCCTTGAGCCCTTGGCCTTGAGCGGTGAATCTTAACAAAGCCGTTGTCAAACAACGCACCCCTTGTATTCCGCTTATTTCTATGAATTTAAGTAAACTACAACACAATCCAGACATCTTATCGGCCCCTTCGAGGCCAAATGCCCAGGTATGGCCTATGGTGTCTAAAGACGAGGGGCCTGCAAAAGGCCCGCGTTTTTGGAGCGGGACGCTCACCGCGTCGCCGGCGCGCAACGCACGACGACAGGCCTGAAAGAATGGCTGAGGTGACGAAATCCCCAAACTTGGGGGTGAAACGGCACTCGTCGGAAACCGACCAAGCCTAGCCTGCGCCGTAAATAGACGACGGGACCCCCAAAGGTCAAGGGACGGTTCAGCGCCAGGGGACTAACAGACGAACCCCCGGACGGATCATTTGGACCCCCTTCC